CGAATTCAAGATTAACAAAATGCGTAAATAGTCTGAAACAGTTAAAAAATATATGTCGTACATAATATTACTCGTCTGTCATTAATTAATATTACATTATTGAATAAAATTTAGCACATTAGTTTAATATTCTTTTTCTGATTTTAATTGTGATTAAATTCAATATAATACCTGCATCTTTGTACACCCGATCGATAATATAATATATTTTAATTAATAAAAGCGTGAACGCTTGTGCACAATGCTATAATAATCTGTTAAAACTTTAAATGAGTTTATTTCACGCGTGCAATCATGCATTTTGTCTCATCCCGACGTCTCTACGCTGACTACGGTCATAAAAGTTGGCACAATCCAAGATCTGCACAAAACATGGACGCGACGGATACTATTGATATATGTTGCAATGTATATGTCGTGTCTCACTAAAAATCAAAATGCCAGAATATCGCGGTACGCTGTTTATTGTATTTCCAAGTAATATCTGTGAATATACAATTATGCTGAGTGCGTCGACGCGCGTTGAGTGCATTTTAATAAATTATGCGCAACTCGGAGAACAAAAAACGCGTTAAAACGCGTAAAATGCATTTTTCGATAAATGACTTCTGTTGTTTCAATCACTGACGCGATTTGCCTAAAGGCAAATAACGCGTAGATTGTTCTACTACGTGTGTCATATTGTCCTTAACATGACTTTAAAATTAAAATTAAAAATAGAGTTATCACAACTTTGAAATTCTTTTTATAGAAAATGATAAATTTTAATTAAAATTTATTCCAATCATATATGATTTTAATTCAAAATTAGTACATTTAAGTATAATATTATATATATATTCTAAAATGATCATTGCATGCATTATATGATAATAATGAAAAACAATATAATTTATTTACAAGCCATTATTTTTAATACACACAAATTACAAATTGCACACTTCATCTAAGTATTTTATCGTATTTTTAATCAAATAAATACACTTTTTCAAAGTAATGATTATTCAACACCTTATACATATTACGCATAAAATTTATTAATTTTTATTAATATTTTTTACGAAGAGATTATATAGTATTAATAATATTAAATACTAATACATATCATACATATTATATGTTAATTATTTTACGCAAGATGAATATATAATGCGCGTGTTCTCTCGACCTACTTGATATATGTATTTTATATATATATATTTACATAGAATCAATTATGTACAATTAATACACGATACACATTATTATTTCATCAAGAGTTACATCCACCTTAATAATTCATATTCAATAAACGTACGTTAATTACGAAAAATATGTAACATTAAAAAATATATAAATCCAATATAAGAAAAAAATAGTTACTTACTTCATATACATCTATTATAATATTTTTTCTTCAAATTGTGTTTAAAATACAGTAATTAACATATTTCGTGATTAATATAGTAACATGATTACATAGCATACATAATATTACTATATATTCCAAAATAGATAATAATTTGTTATAAACAATAAAGTGATGATAAAGTCTTTGTTATAAAAAAGTGGCCTTTATATTGAATATTAATTTACTTAACAATACTTCTAACTACGATCATGCGGAATTTACTTGACGGAATTGTCGCACGTTCTCATTAGAGAATTTCTAGAATTAAAGCTAATTACAAAAAGTTAAACGTTAATTTGATTTATTGATTATTTATACAAATGTTTTAAATTATGATTAAATTATATTGATAGTAATTCAAAAACCTTAAATAATATATAATGTTTAATTTACTGTAAATTTATTAGACAATGCATATCATATAAAATTGCGTTGTAGCAAATAAATACAAATAATATATATAAAAATAACAGATGGAGTTTTAAAAATCCCGAATTTTGCGCGGTTAATTAATTGGATAAAATACTGCATATTTGCGCAGTGATAATTAACGATAAACTATATTACAGATGTTTGTTGATTATTATGATTGAAATATTTTCTGTTTTAATTAATATTATGTGATTCCTATTCATAATAATTGTTGTACTATTTATGTTATTATAACTAAAATGCACATTTCAAATTTAATGAAGAAAAATTATTACAATTGTTTATTCAAAAGTTTTGTTGTTATAAAAAATATGATGCAATAAATGAATTAGTTTTATCTAAAAAATTCATCTGTATTAATTATTAAGATATAAAAAATGATATATATATACCAATAAATCAAATTATTATTTAATTTTAATTCCATACCGCACGAAATCTCTGTTTATCATAAATATTATATTATATTATCATAAATTGTTATTCTATTAGAGAGAGATATAAGATTTACTATTGCACAATAAATAAAGTAATAAAAAGTAATATAAATTATTATGTAAATATTGTGATACTGTCGCATGTTCATTTTTGACTTGTTTTCTACCATCACGAAGAACGCTTGCGCGGAATTGTCGCGGAATAAAACATCATCGCCAACAATTTGCATAAAGTGAGAAATGACTCCTTAAAATTCTCGCTCTGTAAAACGAGGAAAATTTTAATTTTTCTCGCCGCCGTGCATGCGTAACTTTTGAACGTTGGAAATTCTAAAACGTCGGTTATTACAGTCGCCTAGTTGGGCAAGTTAATAACAGAAATTTCGAATGAAAAAACGGTTTTCCTTTCAATAAGGAAAACATACGGTGCGAATATAGGACTCACGTTAGTGAAGCATGGACAGATATTGCACGTCGAATTAATGGGGAATGAATGAATCATGAGATCCCGATCTACGCAAATGTTTGTTCTGCAATCTGTAAAAATGGAACAGGGATCATCGCCGAAACAAGATCGAAGATGGTCGAGCAAGATAAGCAATTTATGTTAATTAACGCGATCATTGACATACTTCCGCTTTTTAACGCCGATACAAATAAATAATCGCAACAGTCGCGTATATCGCGGGAATACGAGTATGTGGCAATGCAAACAGTCAAGTATCCGGCCGCGTATCGCGGATACCTATATACCTTATGGCCACTATTATCGCGCGCGAATAAATATCGGCGCACTTCTTGCGCTCGTTATCACGCGCAAATAAATATCACTCGAGTCCTGTACACTCGCGGCATTATCGGGCTCGTTCTGCGCGTCACAGATGCATTAATTATCTGAGCGTAGATTGCGCGAAATTAGGTATTGCATTGCACTCTGCAGTCTGATGTTTACATTTTTGCATTATTACGATGATCCCGCATTGCGATTATGCGAATGCTACAGAATATACATGTCGATTATGTAGACTTATAGACGATTAAAATCAAATGTTGCAAATCACTGTGTATGAACTATTAGATAAACTGCACAATTGTCATACATTAATGAAAAAACAAAGTTTTTTAAATTTTATGCAATAAAACTCTTTTTCTCCATCTAAATTAAATTACATTTTTAAAATCAATTATCACAAATTACTCACTTTATGCCATAGATTTATTTTACTTGATTATATCATTCTTTTGTAATTGAAATAACTACAATTAAAAATATAATTAATGGAATAGTGAACGAAGTAATTAAAAAATTATTCATAGATTTTCATTAATTAGTGAATTTAAAATGTATTATAAATGTACTATTTCTTTAATTATTTTTTATAAAATAAATCATTGCATCTATTATATTTTCACATGTATTATTGTATTCCAATATTAAAAACATTCACATATATATTGCTATCTGTAGAAATAATAAATAAAGTAATAAAGAAGATAAAACGACTATTACAGTATTGTTTCGGTTTTTTATGACCATATATCTTTAGATAAGCACTTTGAAAATACTAACTGTTTCGGTAAAGCAATTGATCCTATTAACAGTATTGGATACGCAATATTAAATGAAGCCGAGTATATACATATATATTGTATATTAGACAGAAGATAGGAAACAGAGTACAGTTTGGCAGCAAGGAGAAATTACGACTTTCGAAATTTCAGACTGTACCACGCTTTCGCGTCTAATTAAACTTTGACTTCTCTCGTTTATACGCCGTCAGAAGCCAGAAGTGGCATGTTGCCGTAACCGAATGCTTGCGCCCGGAACATCTCGCACAATTCGATTCTGTAATAACATTATCTCCGCCTCCAAAGGATTCAGACTTCGTTCGCGAGATATTTTACTAGTATGAGTTAGCTTTTCCTCGCCTCGAATGCTTCTTAAGTCAATGTGCCTGCCTTTCTCTCGGAATACAAACTACTACGCCAAACAACTGACAATAATAAAAGTAAAAGCTAATAATAATTTAATAATGTCCGATTATGTGCAATTTAAATAATAGCTAAAACACTACTGATATCGCTTTGAGTTTGTAACGCTAAATATGAAATAACTGCTAAACTAACATTTAATAGCATAGTAAAAAATATCCAATAATTATATTATTCATATAACTAATAAATGTTCTTCGTATTACTTCTAGCTCATAGTTTATTGCATAAAATTGATTTTATATCTCGTATCATTGATATTTCGTATTTGAATAGATTAAATTGCAGATAATTAATTAATTCTTTTTTTGCAAGAGCAAAATTTATCTGAATATTGGAACAATTTTTCCCAAAAAATTTCTTGTGGTTTCAAATAGAAAAATATTGATACATTGCATAGAAAAAAAATTTACAAAACCATTTTGCTAGTATTTCTATTTGTGATAAGCTCACACGGTTTTGAAACGTTCCAACATTGAGTAATCATTATATGTATAAACACGGAGTTATTTTTCTATAACAATATCGCTGTCAAACTATTACCGATTATATTCAAATCTTGTCAAAAAAATATCTGTGCAGTTTCTAAATTAGTTTTATAGAAAGAAATAAATTGAAAAAATGCAATACATAAAGAGAATTATATCCTCTATTAAAATATAATATTTATATTATATCTTATCACATAAATTTAAAAAAAATTGTATTACATTAATTCTTTGAATCATTGATAAAACTATATATAATTATATTTACATTATATTTATTATTATTATTATATTTACAATAAATTTACATTTTTTTTTACATTTACATCATTCCAACCGTAAAAAAAAAATAAATAAAACAAGATTGGCAATTATTATTTTCTTAAACAATGGATTTGGCACCAACATTTTTCTACGAGACAGAAGGACAAAGTAATCTTAGAGAACCGACAGCTTGCCTGATGAGAGAAACGAGTGCGCCTCTCAGAGATAGTATCGTGATCAACGCCGTAAGAATAAGTAGTACATCGTTGGCGTACTCCTGTCCCGTTGTCTGGTATATCCATTTCTTTTTGTAACCGTAACACTGCGATACCATACCAATGACAAAGCCAGCAGTGCCCAGAAAATTGTGAAGGAACTTGATAACCACTGGCCGCACGAACTTACGTAGTTTCCACGCGATCCACACCGGATATCCAAAGATCGTTACCGTGCACACGATTACCAGCGAGGTGAAGCCCGTGATACCATGGATCGAAAGGAAGTGTGCTGTTTTGGCGTTGTACATCAGGCCTACGCCAACCAAATTGAAAATCAGTCCAATGGCTTGCAGAATCCAATGGAGATGTTTGTTGGCGCGACGCGAGAGAGAATTAGTCAGAAAATTATCACCCGTCAAGACAACAATGGCCTCCGACATCAGCAGAACGTACTGAAAGAATGAGCGATTCGTGAGCGAGAACGGGAAAGAAGTTGGGATCGTTTAGCTAAGTCGTTAGAAGTTCTTTGGCCATCTCGCGTGGCCTAAACTCTCTCTCGATGGGGAAGGAACCGCGCTCGATACTACGGCGATTCTACACTGGACGTTAGTCGACGGGGGCAAGTGGATGTTGTAATTTGAGTTTCGAGAGTCGCTGAAACTCAATTACAGCATGCACTGTATAATACTTCTTGCTGTCGCACACAATGTGATTAAAAACAAGTATGAGACATATCAATTTCTTATGCATTGCTCTTGGTTGAATCTGACTGTGCATAATAACTGGATAGTTTTTATGCAAATGTTTCTATGGCAAGATTTGAATGCAGGCTTTTTAAAGTCTACTTTATAAAAGCAAAAGCGCAAAATAAAATTTTATATTATAGTAATAATTCATTCTCAAAATGCTTCAATTAAATTAATTAGCGCGTAGACACTTGATATCTTTTATACAAAAATCGTTTATTTTATTTTTATAAGAATAAAGTTTTATACAAGACCATAAAATTTTGTTCTACGATATTTTGCTTAAAATACGATGCGCTGAAAAAAGAAAACGCAAATGTTCCAAAAACTCGTGTATTGACTTCGTACACACGTATATTAAAAATTGAGAAATATCTTGAATATTTATCAATGTAAAAAGAATAAAACAAATATGAAATTAAAAATAACCAACGCAGAATTTATCTTCGTGCAAAGTAAAAATATACGCTTCCGCATAAGAAAAAAAAACAGATATTATGATATTCAGATGCATTTATTATTATATTTATCAAAAAATGTGTGGAGAAAAATTAATTATATTTAATCTGTTGACCGTTTGCAAATAAATAATTTCATAGAGAAATGTATTTGTATATACGAGGAATCGTTAGTTTAGACGGATCAAAATTAATGATCCATCCACGTTTAAGCTCCGCTTTGCAAGGATAAGCGAGTATAAGCAATTATCGTTGCAGTTGAAGCCCGTGCAAAGCGGGACTTTGTTACAAGGAATAGATAAGCGTTACGATTCATTACAAGTTCGGTCGTAAACTCGCATATTGATGCGACGAGTTTAAGGAAGAACGTAATTCACACAATGGGCTTTTCTTGGCGCAGTTCCGCGCGTGTATCAGATGCATGTCGATGAGCTACGTAATAAATGAAAACGTTTTACAAACGCGAAAAGAAAAGGCTTTAAAAAAATTTACATTCACGAGAAACTTTTATCCCTGCAACGTGTTTCATCACGACTAAAAAAAGAAGGCGCTATCTCTTTACAGCTATATTTAGGAGATTCTAAGAGCTAATGTACACGTATATACGGCATATCGTGTGACAATTTTCTTTTTTTTTTTCTTTTCTTTTTAACAACTTTTCAAATCGTACGCTACACTACTTAAATTATTCATTGCGACTAACATGGAAAATTTTAAGTGCTTTTACATTTTTTATAAATCTAGCCATAACTACCTCGTCTCGTGCCATCATACCGTATAATGGGTAAAATTAAAAAGCACGCTACATCTTGTAAGAATAGGTAAGTACAGGCAAGATACGACACTTTCTAGATTGAATATAAGTGCTTCTATTAATAGATGTTTCGATATAGTGATAAACAATGAAATATAGATATTAATCATTGTTATCAATTTTAAAATTTATATTTTTATATAATCTTATAAATAAAAAAAATCCCTTTTAATTAAATTTTTAAATATTTTATCGTACGTAATTATAAGAAGAATATATAAATTTTCTATCGCTATACATATTGCTTATATAATTTATTATAGTCACATTGCATACTCGAGATTTCAGATAAAGTTACATGATCGTACACCAAAAGCATTTTAATTAATCCAAATATTTCTGTGGAATGCGCTCAAAGAAAAGAGTGAACAAAGTTTGGCACTTGATTACGAGGGCAGTGATATACGCAGCGCGATCAGTTTCACCAATTTACGATGAGTTACGATGCTTTAGAAAATAAACGGAGGAGAAGGATCAAACGCGTATTTCACGAGAGAGTAGATGGAATACTTACCCCGAAAGTGCAGAGGATTACGTGTATATTTGTTACATAATGTTCCTTCGCCGAGTAATATACAAGGTATACCGTTACTGCAATGATCAGTGCATGGTTAATCGCGTCCATCGCAAAGATAAATACATGTTGAGCGTTGCATTTTGGCCTTCTGTTTTCGGCGCTTACGATACTTTTAGCAGAATCGTTACGTGGAACTCTTGACGATTCTGTCGATTGAAGCGCGAGCTCGACATTGTTTTTATTCGCCATTGTCCTGCAATATGTATGATTTGTTATTGGTACTATATCACTTATAAATTTGTCGGTTTGCTGCCGGTTTGTACAGAATTTGATCAAATTTTCGATTTTCTAAACCTAATTTTGACAAGACATGATATTGCTAACATGAAGTGACTAGCCAAATTGTTGACAATATTAATTATACATATTAATATAGAATATATATAATTAATATTGACACAAATGAATATTCAACTATTAACATGCATTTATTTATAAATTTATTTATAAAGATAAATATTAAGATATATAAATATCATTTATGTATTAAAAATAAAATATGGCAAATTTTTTGAAAAATTTTACATTTTTTTATATTTTATTTTACTTATTAAATTGTTTAATTTCTTTAATAGACGTATGCATTTATAAAAGAAATATACTAGGAATATATAGAAAATGTTAATTCAATAAAATATTTAAATGATAATATTATCGCAACTGACCGACAAATGTTAATCTGATGTTATTCGGGGAAAATACGCCTTGAAAGCTGATTCACACTTACTTAACACGTGATGCAGTACTAGCAAAACGCTGTCTTTCCGTTATTGTATCTTTTTTTCCTTGTTGCATTTTACTTGGACTATAATTCTTATGACACATATTATGGTGCTATAAAAGTTAATGACCGTATTCCCATGACATGTAAAAATACTTACAGTGTCGGGTTGTGCTCAAATGGGAACATAACGAGTGTTACGTGATAAGGTACCTAGTCAAAATGTGACTTGGTTTTAAATGCGGCACAGACACATACATTCACTATCCTTTTAAGGATATAGATATATCTTATACATGTTTTTATACATATGATTAATTTTGCTGAATTTATAAACATTTAAGTAAAAATTAATCAAAATCAATAAAATCCTTCTTAGTTAGAAATTTACTTCCGCGTTTGTGTGAGAAAATGCTATTGCACGAATAAACGCACACATTCTATTAAAAATGTAGTGATAGCATTTACATAACTTGACAGAGGTTGGTACGACTTGACAAAATATTCTAAAAAGTGTTGTACGTTGACGGCATATAATATATCAATAACTGGACATTACAATTGAGAAAAATGTTATAGGCTTGCAGTCAGTAAGCATATGATTCAATCTTGCGCTAATAAAGTATTATTATGATATTCGATAGTTATGTAAAAATATTTATATGTAAAATATACGTTATATATATAATATTTTTATTATAGTGCATTATTTTGCATATTTCAGTTCCTAGCATTAAACTGAATCTTGAAAAATTAATTTAATGTTATAATCTATTAATTATGTATATGGACGCCTCTATTTCGCTTCTTTTTCTTTAGAACTTTAGTTAATATCATCGAAGGCATTTTAAAAAATGTACATAAAATATCGTAAATCATATTTACTCAAGCAGTTAGAAGGATATTAAACACATATTATTATTAAAATTCTATCATAACAATATACCGATATATAAATAATGTAATATTAATTAAAAGCTTTAATAATGCAAATAATTGATATTGTTTTTGATGCGTCTTAACAAAATCATCAATTTACGCCATAGTATGCAATTTCAAATTTAATTTAAAATATAGATATTACCTATAGGTAAATTTGATATTTATATAACTTATCAAATAATCAATTAAGCAACCAAATAATTAATTAATTAAGTAAGCAAAAATCAAATAATTACGATAATTACGTCTCGATACATTTTATATAATTTTTAATTATACTTAATTTTTATTGAACAATCTCGCGCAGAATTTATTTAATCTATTCATCATTTAATCGATTTATAAATTGATAACTAGATTTCTATGAAATTTGTTCTTTGTAATGCTCAATAAAAATTTGCTAATGGATAATATAATCCACGTAATTAATAAGTAAGTATAATTACCTTAGTTTACCTCTTACCAATATTGAGTTCTACAGCTACTCGAAGAAAATGGATTGATTTTTAAGGCAAGCTTTAAAATTGAATGGTTTCAAAGGTTAAAAAAGAGAGAAACCAAAATCAATCTGTGTGCGCGAAAAGCAGAAAATAGGCAGTTTGCCGAACGAGGTTACGAAGGCGAACCTATTGCTCCTTCGATCCACTTGTTCCAACTTGTTGTTTCTTCTTTAATTACTAATATATTTCTTCTCAATCCGCGGTTTAAAGAATTTGATATTAATTTTATATATATATTATTATTCCGTGCTCGTCTGTCTACCGTTACCAACACAATAATATTATTTATAATATATTATATATTTTGCAAAATTGCAAAAAATATTAATGAATATGTTAATTAATTAGTGATATGATTATACACATTTATCACACAATTAACAAAGAGACCTTAACTTAAATCTAAGAAAAGAAGATAATGAAGACTTACATAAGTTAACGCCGCAAATGCGTACGCAAATATAGCGCTTTCGTAACTGACTATCTTGAGCAACGAACGACGTTTGTCTACAAAAGGGAAACTACACGAGTGTGCAAATTTCTTCCTCGTAATATATGCCGACGACGCGCGCGATTAATGCGGGCGATGCGCGGGGGATCAGCAACGAGCCGAGAGATCGATGTCGGGGCCACTGGTCGTAAGATTGAGTTCGCGCTAGTCGAGGGAATCCTAAGTAAGTGCAAAAAATGCGGGACGTCCCGAGCGGGATTTTTGTGTCCGACACATGACTGATAAGTGCGCGATGGTTGACTCGCGTTGCATTAATAAGACAAATGCGACACGTACTAGATATTATCGGATGTCTTCTGGGACGTGTTAACGGCGTCACGTTAATGACACTGACTTTTATCACGATCACGTACGCTTTATGCGCGCTCACCAGCGCAAGATGCAAATGAAACGGAGACGGATTAAACCGACGCCACTGAGGATATAATCAGCTGATTTAACTCGAAAGCATTCAAAGGCTCGGCTTTCTCGGATACCTTTGCAGATCTCTCGGCGCTCTCGTGTATTAACTGACCGTCGTCTTTCGAAATTACACAAATTTTCATATTTATCCGAATATAAAGATTATACCCATATCTTTGAGAGCGCGTCAAATTATGTACTTCAAGAAACAATAATGCCACCAGTAGTTCAAAGAAAAGATTATATATATATACATCTTTTTATTAAAAATATTAAATCTTTTACTAGAAAATATGAGATATTACAAATATTACGGATAAAGAGAAAGAAAGAAAACATGCTCCGTGAGCCACCGTACGAGATACGTAAACGTTGATAATATCTCACACGCTACAAATTATAAGCCTATCATATCTATCTTTGAAGTAAAATCATTCACGAGCGAGACAATGAAATCGCACCTGTTAATTCTCACGTAGCGATAACATTTAACGATATCAATCATATGTTATTGCCCGCACGATCATTTTTATCGTTATATTAATTGCTATTAAGATATGCCGTAGAATAACGTTATCTCCCACTGTAATTTATCTAACATCTAGTGACCGGATGCCGAGAATTAGTATTTATCGGTTATATTTTGTCTTACATAACTCTAATTTGTTAAGGAGTAAGCGCATGAGAAAACTATTTATATCGAATGTACGATATCGAGGTAATTAATCAATATTAAACTCGAAACATCTGATACTTGTGTCGTGTATTTGTTTTTACATTTAATAAGATTTTGTTGACTGCTGTTATTCCATGTTCTCATTTCGCCGTAATACATTTCAAACATTACTAACTTTTCAACAGTAGCATAATGTAAATATAAACTTTTTTCAGGATATATTAATTGCTTCCAATATTTATTTAATGCAGTTTGATAGAAAGTAATACATAAAAATATCAATTCTACTTTTTGTAAGCTTTTTTTATTTTTAGTACCACACTATACAAAAGGAAGATACCAACTTAATTATAATAGTTATTGTATGTACATGGTCTTGCAGAATTAAACTAATAAAATTGTTATAATTGACACTGTATTCTATTTAAAATAAAATAATTTCTCATATTCACTTTATTAATATTAATCATTTTGTATATATGGCGCTTTTAACAATCGTGTGAGCTATGGTTTCTGTACATTAAATATATATAGCTTTTTCTCGTATATTCTGGAAAATTAAGATAAATTGTTTAACTTCCAAAAATTTCACAAAAGATTGCCGAGTTGAAATTATCTTTGTAACTTCACAAGTTTGTACATCTCATTTCATACATTCTTGCCGGGTAACTGTGATATTAGTTACAGAGCTTTCTTTTTAATTACATCCTTTCATTTACTCGCTTTTAATTACTCAAAAATGCGACTGAGAATGTCTTCAAAGAATATGTCGATAGAAAAGGGATCCAAATATTATATTAAATTTTTACCAACTCAGTAAAATATTAATTACTATATCAAAATGCAAAATGAAAACAAGATACGTTGTCATGTCCAACTTTAATGATATGCATTTAGATTAGCATTTTTACTACTATTTTTGTCCCCATAAATTTAATTTTATCTGCTGCTGGTTTTTGGAGACAGCCATATTCGGGCAATTTTATTATTTCTATATATAATTTCTTTATTTTAATCCAAACAGACATAAAAATCGGAAATAACTTTAAATTTATCATGTTTAAAATTTTTCATGTTCCAAATTTTTCATTTACATATTGCAAACTTCAATTTATTTGTGTTATCAATAGCATTTTACATATCCAACAAGACTTGGTCTTACCGACTATAGCTGTGTTCCGATATATTCACTGCCAGTACTGAAAATCTGTAATATACGTGACGTAAACTATACATTTTCAGTACTGGCAGTTAATATCGAGAAAGGCAGCCTATGTAAGTTCCATCAAATATTGCCGACTGCATCCCAACGAATTATTTCAATTATTTTTAAATAAAAATTATTAATATTAACAAACAGCATTTGCCGAGTGAGAAATTTGAATACTTTATTAAATGTATCTCAGAGCTATACCAGCGGTAATATACCGGTAGGGTCACCCATGCCTGGTCAGGTCGAAGAGTTAAACCAGAGAGAAATCTGAGAGGGATCATGCCGCCGTTTTTCATAAAACGCTTTTTCTAGCTGGTACAGTAGTGTCAACTAGATCCATTTTAGAGCTGGCAGAACTACATGGCCAAATTTATTTTTCGGTGCCACGGTAAAACAATTGTTTGATGCATGTGCGTGCTAGATCCATAATTGTGGATCAAAATTACGGAGAAATATTATGAATTTATTAATGTTTTATTAGCTGCGCGTGATATTTTGCCATTCTAGTATATACTATGAACAGCGATAATAAGTTTAAAATATTTTTATATATATGCGCATGTGACATAAAATAAATTTTCTTAAATTAATTTTCCTAATAATTTTTTCCCTAATTTTTAAATATAAAACGTGTAGAAAGAATTAAATTGCTTTTACTTTTTCTTATTCTTGAAACAAAATTATCAAGCATTTTAAGCAATTCTAAATTATGCTTTTAATCCATATAGCTTTTTATAATTAATTATTACTTTATTATTAATTATGTTATTTAAGTAATTTTTTAATTTATAAATTCAGTTGAATGCACTGAATTTAGTGCGCATTGATTCACATTAAAAGCATATTAAAATTATAATATATATAAATTTATATGAGCATAATATATGTATAAGCATAAATAATTAAAACGATAAGATAATTAATACTATACAAATCTTTTGAGAATAAACATAACAATAGATACGCTTCGCTTAACGCTATTTTCGCTCGAAGAACAAGATTCTTTGCTCTCATTTGTCCACCAAATGCTTCGGTGCAAAAATAGTGTCTAACGGAGTGCATTTATTGAATATATAAAAACATTTATAAAATTTTTATATTTCTTAAATTTTTGAATGTAATTTTACTTGATTAATAAGAAATTTGCAAATGAAATGACATAAAAAAAACCCGCGCTTTTTTCGAATAAATTTCAATTAGATATAAATTTGAAAATTAGATAAAATATTTTTTTCCTTATTTAAGTAAAAATTATCCAAATTATATATCATATTTTTGATGTCATTTTAATTAAAAATCTCATAAATTCTAAAAATTATTTTCGATATTACTTTCTAAAATATTACTTTCTAAAATAAAACATAAATATTTTAGTTTTTATTACATAAGATTTTTGAATATTATAAATAAATTATTATAGATAAGTAAAGATCTCTGATGTCATCGAAAGTGAGAGCGAAAACGAGTTATAGTTTATTATATAATATTTCGAATATATATGTGTCATTATCATAGTGACATTATACCATAGAAAATAAAACTTATAACTAATATTTTGCATTTTACTTGTTTAAAAATAATTTTAATGGATTAATGATTTCTTGCGATTAAAATGATATCAAACATGACATAAACCGAATTTTTTATTATGGGTAAGTAAAAATCTCCGATGTCATCGAAAACGAGAGCGAGAACGAGTAAAGAGCGAATAATTTTTATTATAGTTAAATATGTAATTAAAATTTTTATTATTAGTTTGGTTAAAACTTATCCGATTTATGTTGTGTTTAATATAATTTTAATCGCAAAAATTTCATTAATCCATTAAAATTATTCTCAAACCGATAAAATACAAATAAGAATCTCTCTTAAAGTAAGAATCGAAGTGACAGAAATCTAAATTATAAATTATCGTTTTGTTGCGATTCTTACGAATAATAACTATTTTTCTATCGATACCTAGAGTAAAGATATTCTGTCCCATGCTTTATCGTTTGACTTTTCGACGATATAAATTTGATTCGGATTGAAAACGCGCAATAAAATAGTCGAATTGCAGGTTCAAGTAATTAACATAACGATAAGCTTTGTGATATATATATTAATCGTTTACTAATTTTAAATAAGGTTAAATAATTGATCTATAATTTAAGATACTTGTATAATTTAATATTTCGCATATATATTTTATAGTACATAAAATATTTCGGCAGCGAAGGATAATACCTAACATGGTATTTGGCCTTGTCGGCGTAAACATTGGCGCGCGTAAACATTGTTTATGTATCACGGCCTTGTTATCATTTATACAAAGACACTTGAATAGAACTGTAGTGGGGCGAGATGCTCAAATTCCTTTCTTACATGGTATCATTCGCGCGGCGATACTCGAGCAATAAAGTAGCAGTGCGTCGTCGGTGCCGTCATCGTGCCGCGGACGGCTTTCGCGTCTTTCGCGTCGCGTGTCAACACAGCATTGCCACGAGTCGCACAATGGCTCATATGTGGCACGCGCATTTATGCGCATTATTTATCGAACGGACATTAGTGCGTCGTCGGTGCAGTCATCGTGCCGCAACGATGCGTCGCGTTGTCGCGTTTTCGCGTTTTCGCGTCGTCGCGTCTTCGCGTTGGATTTCTATCTCGTTTTCATGATTGTTATCGAGAATCATACTTTGTTGCCGGCTAAATGGGATGTCTCTCAGCAAAATTTATAAAATTATTTTATTAATCTGCTTATTATTATATGCATCGAATATAAAATTCAATGCACCTAATAAATTTTTTAAAATATTAATTGTTTTGAGCGCTGCTATAATTTGGATCTTCTATTTGCATGTTACAGAGCAACGTATAGCGACCCTGATATTCTGAGAGGAGGAGGAGGCCTAGGAGAGGCATCCTGCACCAGCGGAGCAACCCTAGGGTGAGTATTTATTATTTGTATATCAGTTGTTAAAAATCGCGTGCGCTCATTAGTTTGGTC